CTGCTTATCTGATTTAATAATCTCTAAACAAGATTGTATTTATAACTTGATAAAAAATGTATAATCTTTTTCCCCATCTGTTGAACCTCTATCCCTCTGCTCTTAAAGAGCTGTTGAACCTTGCATTTATATCTGATATATTCTTATATGAACATAAATTCTTAGTATTTTATGAGTATTTCATCTTGGTTTTTCACATATGAATACAGATAGGCCATATTGTTTCTCAGAACAGATACTCACTGTCTTTATGTGAACATTTAGCATCTGTCTAGTGATTAGAATACAATCTTTATGTGTCAGTCATAAAAATTTCAAACTAATGGAAAGTATCTCTCTATTCAAAATAGACATTTTGCTATGTCTCCTCCAATCCCAAAGCACATATTTAAATAATTTCATAGATAGCCCTGGCTGATGCAGCTCAATTGGTTGAAATATTATCCAATAACTTCGAGGTTGAGGGTTCAATTCCCAGTGATGGCACATAGCTAGGTTGCAGGTTTGATCCCCAGTCCTGGCACATATGGAAAGCAACCAATCGATGTTTCTCTTTCATGTCCATGTTTCTCTCTCTCCCTTTCTTTCTAAACACAATGAAAAAAAAAGTCTTTGAGTAAAGATAAATAAATAACTTCATGGATAGTAACATTTTACCTCCAAGTAATTGAAATTTGTAGAATTTGGGGCATTATAATTGTGTGACTTCATGAGAATTAGCCAATATAGGGTAGTTGTTGTCTGAGTTAATAGATTATTTAGCACAGCAATTAGTTACCACCAATCACCGTGATAACCGAATTGCTTCTAATCCTGTTCTTGGGAGGTGTAAGCATTTGGGGTCAGCAGCGAACAAGAACAGAAGGAGAGCTTCTGGGGTAGGGGATGAGGATATGTATGCATGTACATATGCTTCTGTGCATGTATATTTATGAAAGACAAGTCTGCAGGAATTCATTTCTAGCATGAAAGAAATTGATTTTGAGTAATAAAATATGAAGCATTCCAAAAAGAAAATGATTGTTAAATAACTTCAGGAAATACCCAAAGGTACCACTTTTGTATTCTCCAGTTTCACTTTATTTCATCCTATATTAGGTCCCTGAAAGCACAGGCAAGATTTAAGCTACAGTAGCTCCCCCTTATCAACAAGGGATATGATCCAAGACCCCCAGTGGATGCCTGACACCATAGATAGTACTGAACCCCATACATACTATAGTTTTTCCTATGCATACATACTACCTTAACACTCAAAGGAAGCACTTTATCACTTCTCTTAGCATAACCAAATTGCCAGCATCACTATTCTTGTGCTTTGGGACCATTATTAAGTAAAATAAGGGTTACATGAACACAAACATAGTCAATCTGATAAGCCTGAGGGCTACTAAGTGACTAAACCAGTGGTAGCTTATAAAGTATGGATGTGCTGGCAAAGGGATGGTTCATGTCCCTTGTGAAATGGAATAGGACAGCATGAGATTTCATCACACTGCTCAGAATGGTGTGACATTTAAAACTTAGGAATTGTTTATTTCTCAAATTTGCCATTCAATATTTCCAGACAACAGTTGACCATATAGATAACTGAAACACAGAAAATGAAACTGTGGATGCGGACACTGGGAATTTGCAATTTCCATTGCATTTTTTTTTTTTTTACCCCTGAACCACAGTCAGCTGAATAATAGATATAACCTTTCTTTTTTTTTTAATGAAAATCAACAGCTGGCAAATTGTTAAACTGTTAGGAAAATTCTAGCAAAGTCATGTTAGTTAAAGATAATGCCAGTTGACATAAATTTCTCACATTAGACAAAATAAAAAGACTAATGGAAATGTAATAATAGAAATAAAAAAGGTCATTGTGCCACAGTAGGATCTTTCTCTGCACTTGGCCTGTAGACAATAGATTTGAAATTGCCACTGGCAGATGCCATTAAAAGGGAAAGAAGGATCCATGCAAAGGGACCCATGCTAGCGCACAGCCCAGACGGTCATTCCATTGAACACCCGCACGCACGCTTGTAAAACGCTGAATGCAATTATTTCCTGTTTTCTCTAGTCACAATTTGAAATATCAATCTGCATCAACTTCAAAGCAAACATAGCTTAGAACATGTTTTTCAATGTATTTTCATCATTTCCCTTTGAGTTTATCCCATCATTTATATAACAAATACTTTTCTTTTTCATTATATGAGTGTGTGTGTATAATACCCAATGATCAGAAAACACTTAAAAATACTATTGGTGTTTTGATACACACAAAGAAAAGGGATTTGTGAAATTATCTTCTTGTATATTATTAACAGACTGCTTTTACGCTAAAATATAAACATCAAAATTTAATGAACTTAAAATCAATGACAGTTTTCAGGTCACCTGGACTTTTCACATAACATTAATTCCTTTGAAAACACAGTTATTTATTTATTTATTTACCAAATAAAACTGACATAATCCTTTGGAATAAAATCATGCAGAAACTGCAAAAGAGTAAAATTAAATTAATTTCAAACTAGAAACACCAAACTCTTAAATCTGTATTTGCAATAAATGACTCTAAGTTGCTATTGTCCACTGGTCACTTAACTAAATGCCCACGCAAAAGTTACTTTTTGCCATCAGCCAGTGACTCCCTGTCTTTCTCACTTTTTCTGTTTCTCTGCTTCTGTCCTCTCTTTCTTGCTCCCTCTGTCATGCTGAGCATACATGTGTTTGTGTGTGTGTGCGTGCGTGCATGCACATACTTTTCCCAAATGCCTCCTGATTTACATGTTTAATTCTGGATTTAAACTGAATTAATTCCAAATTATCTACACCTCCCACAGCCCTTTTCCCTTCATCCTGAAGTTGAGCTAAGAGTTTCCCTCTCATCTGATGCACTTTATCCTTTCTGGGCTTCATTGTGATTAGCCAGCAAACTGGCGGATGTCCACGGTCCTGCCCTGTTCTACAATGGCTAGTGTCACTAGTCATTCTTTTTGTCCTACTCTAGGCCACTTACCATTCCTCTGAGCAACCCACATTTCTTCACCTGGACTTCATGAGGTGCTTAGACCCCTACTGAATTATTCTTTCATGCTCAACTGCTTGCAGTTGAAAATCATAATATTAAAAATTATTTTATAACTGCAAATTTACAAACCATGTACTAACTATGGGCAAAAATTTGGTATGTTCAAAATTAAATATATATATATATGAATATATGTACACATGCACAAGTTTTGCCACTGGATTTACAGAAATAATTCATTCATATTAACAACCAAAGAATACAAAATGTTCTAAAACAAAATGAGTAGCCTCTCACATCTCACTGCAAAGCTCCCTTTCTCATGTATATTTTTATATTATTTCCTTATTTTTTCAAATATAAAACAAATATACACATTTTTATAAGATGAAAGTGAGGACATACTCTCTTATATCAAGTATGTCATTGGTTGTATAAATTAACAATGTAAAATATGTTTTCATTTTCTAAACAGTGTCTCACAGAGCAGTTTTTTAAAATTTAATGATGTCTAATTTCTAATGATTTCTTTCATAGATCACACTTATGTTGTTATATCTAAAAAGCCATCACTGAACCCAAGATTACATCCATTTTCTCCTATGTCATGTCCTAAAACTTTTGTGGTTTTCCATTTACATTTTGATCAATGGTCCGCTTTGAGTTAATTTTTGTGAAAGGTGTAAAGTCAGTGTCTACACGTTTTTCCCCATGGATACGTACATTTGTTCCACAACCATTTATTGAAGACAATCCTTTCTCCATGGAATTGCCTTTCTCTTTTGTTAAAAATTGGACTGTATTTATGTGTCAGTTTCTGGGCATTCTATTCTATTCTACTGATCCAGTTGCTTATTCTCTTTTCATTACCATACCATCCTAATTATTGTAGTTTACAGCCAACCTGTAAGTCAGACGGTGTCAGTATTCGAAGTTTGTTCTTCCTCTACAGTATTGTGTTATTTAGTATTGTTTAACTGGGTTTTTGCCTTTCTATATAAAATTGAGAATAAGTTTGTTTATATCCAAAAAATAACATGCTGGGATGTTGACTGAATTTGTGTTGACACTGTAGATCATGTTGAGAAGACCTGACATTGGAACAAATATTGAGTCTTCCTATTTATAAATATGGAATAGTTGTATATTTATTTACATATATTTTGATTTTTTTCATCAAAGGTTTGTAATTTTTCTCATATAGATTTTGCACAAATTTGTTTTATTTAAGTCATTTTTTGGGTGCTAATAAAAATAGTATTGTGCCTTTAATTTTAAATTCCAATAGTTCATTTCTGGTGTATAGGAAAGTGATTGGCTTCTATATATTAACCTTGTACCCTGTAACCTTATTATAATCAATTCATTCCAGGATTTTTGTTGTTGTTGTTGATTTTTTCTATACAGATAGTCATGTCATCTATGAGTGAACAAAAAACAAGTTTATTTCTTCTTCATCTGTTTTCTGTTATTTTCTTTCTTATTACATAGTTAAGATTTCCAGTATAATGTTGAATAAAAGTGGTAATGGGAAATTCTTGCTATGTTGCTGATCTCAGTGGGGAAACAGTTTTTTTTATCACTGAGTATGATGTTAACTTTAGGTTTTTAGTAGATTCTTTTTAACATACAAGAGAAATAGAGCCTCAGAGTCTGTGTGTTTAATTACTGCAGTACAACTTAACCTATCTTGACAGACACAGTCTTCCCTCTTAAAAAAAAATCCTTCCTAAGATTCTGCTTACATTCTCTGATAATTCATTTATATTTTTTGACAGACAACTGTTTAGTTTTTATTTCATAATCATAAACTTGACTCTGCAATCCAGCTAGACTTGGAACGGGTAAGGAAAACACGGAACCCAATGAACTGTGGCGAGAGCATGAAGATTATAGAACATTCCAAGCAGGTGGGGGTGAAGGAGTGCTCTCCTGAGCTATAGAAGGAATGGTCTGGTGGTTAAGATGAAACACAAGCCGAATGTATTAGAGTTGTCCACAGTCAGTGATGGTGATCTTCTTGCTGGTCTTGCCATTCCTGGATCCAAAGCGCTCCATGGCTGTCACAACGTCCATGCCGTCTGTCACCTGGCCGAAGAGCACATGCTTGCCGTCCAGCCACTCAGTCTTGGCAGTGCAGATGAAAAACTGGGAACCGTTTGTGTTGGGTCCAGCATTTGCCATGGACAAGGTGCCAGGACCTGTGTGCTTCAGGATGAAATTCTCATCATCAAATTTCTCCCCGCAGATGGACTTGCCGCCTGTGCCGTTGCGGTATGTTAAGTCTCCACCCTGGCACATAAATCCCGGAATAATTCTGTGAAAGCAGGAACATTTATAACCAAGTCCTTTCTCCCCAGTGCTCAGAGCACGAAAGTTTTCTGCTGTCTTTGGAACTTTGTCTGCAAACAACTCGAAGGAGATGCGGCCCAAGGGCTCGCCGTCGGCAGCGATGTTGAAGAACACGGTGGGGTTGACCATGGCTGGGCGCGGGAAGAACCGAGGCGTTGGCGGCATCCGCAAGACCCTCTTATAATTCATTTATTCCTCGCTTAACAACTAATAGTCTTGAAAAAAAAACTTCATTAACTTTTTAACTTCTCTTTGATTCCTTGTCCCTCTTAAATAATTTCTGACCTCACCTCTTCATTAGGACCATTCTTGTTAAAATGCAAATGATCTCTTCATTTTCAAATCCAGTGGGTAGATTTATTACCTCACTTGACTTCATGCAGCATGTAGCACTGTTGACCTTTAGAAACTTTTTATGATACCATTCACTTCTCTTACTTCTCTTTCTTTTCCCTCGATGTTATGTAAGTATTTTTTTTATAACATTGTGGAAGCTCCCCTCAATTCCTACTTTGCTGAGAGTTATTATCATGGATGGGTGATGGATTTTGCAAAATGCTTTTTCTGCATCTATTGATATGTTCATATCATTTTCCTAACCTCTTGATGAAAAGTTAAATTGCATTAACTGATTTTCAAAGGTTGAGCTAGCCCTGCCTTGCACACCTGGGGTAAGTCCAATTTGGTCATGGTATATAATTATTTCTATATATCATTAGAATTAATTTGCTGATGTTTTGTTGAGGACTTTTTTTATAAAAGACCATGAGAAGTATTGGTGTATTTTTGGGAACCACTTTGTGTATCGGGAACTGAAACCTCATGAGAGAATGCATTATATTTACTGAAACTTGCTCTGTTTTGCACTGCCCTGATAAGGAAAAACCAAGTGTTTAGTCTCAAAGCAGGAGAAAAGATTCCTGAGCCGCTGAACCTTGGCTTAATGACCATAATGCCAGACTCAGTATGTCTGGCAGACCCTAACCCAAGGCTAATCTATGTGGTCCTCTTTCTGTTATCTATAGCTCTCCGACTTGGATTGAGAAGCTTTGCATGCATGCTGTATACCCCTGCACAAATCATTCTCAATAAAAGCCATTTCAGAGAAAGGCTCAGGACATTCCCCACTAGAGGGAATTGTCACTCCCCTTTCTTGATAGACAATGATGCCTGGAATGACTCGTTATTTCATCTCCAGTGAATCAGGGGACTCTGAGGGATGGGGTATCCCATATCTGGTGCCTGAACAGGGACGCCACAGTATATAGTTTTCCTTTCTTGAGATGTCCATACCTAGTTTGGGGATTATAGAAATGCTGGCCTAATAGAATTAATTAAGAAATATTCTCTCTGCATCAATTCTCTGGAACACATTGTAGAGAATTGGTATCACTTTGTTTCTTCTACAGTAGAATTCATCAGCAAAATGATCTGGGTCTAGTGCTTTTGATTTTAGAAGGTGATGAAGTATTGATTGATTTTTTAATAATAGAAATGAGCCTATTCAGAATACTTATTTATGTGTGAGCTTTGGTATACTGTGTCTGTCAAAAGAATTGGTCAATTTCATTCAAGTTATCAAATTTATGGGCATAAAGTTGTTGACAATATTCCTTTATTATATTTTTAATGTCTGTAGAATCAATAGTGATATTTCCTCTTTCATTTTTGATATTAGTAATTTAAGTCTTCTTTCTTTTTTTTGCAGTTAGCCTCACTAGAGATTTATCAATTTTATTGATTTTTTTTCAAAGAATCAGCTTTTGGCCTCTTTGATTTTCTTTATTGTTTTCTGTTTTCAGCGTCATGGATTTCTGCTCTAACTCTTATTTCTTTTCTACTGCTTACTTTGGGCTCAATTGGCTCTTCTTTTTCTACTTTTATAAAAATGGAAACTGAGAAGATTGACTTTATAACTTTAATCTTGACTAATATATGCATTCAATGCTATAAATTTTTCTCTCAGCACTGCCTTCACTGCATCCTACAACCTTTAAGTTATATTTTTGTTTTCATTGAGTTAAAAGTATTTTTAGTTTCTCTAAAGACTTATTCTTTGACCCATGTGTTTTTAGATATGTGATGTTTTGTCACTAAGTATTTTGTCTTTTTTCAGCTATTTTTTTTCTGTTATGAATTTCTAATTTAATTCCATCATGGTCTGAGAACATACCTTGTATGATTTGTCCTATACTTAATATTTGGAGGTATGTTTTGTGGACCAGAATGTTGTCTATCTTAGTGAATGCCACATATGAGCTTGTATAGAGGGTGTATTCTGGTGTTGCTGATTGAAGCATTCTATAAATGTCAGTTATATCTAGTTGATTGATGATCCTGGAAGTTAGTCTGTTTTGGGTGTTATGCCTTATAGGAACTCAATAAATGTTTGTCAAATGTAGGAGTAAGTAAATAAATTAACAAATGGAAAGTATTACGTGCTATATGCCATAAATTATTTAATCTTTCTCTTATTAAGGGATGTTGAAGTACATGAAATTTTTGTGCTGTTAAGATCTATAGAGTAATACAATTTTTTGAATAAATAATTTAATATTATCCAGAATTTCACAATTTTATTGTGTAAGAAAATAAAACACAAAAACATTAGCTAAGAAAATGAGCATTTCTAAAAGCAGTCCTCTCTCAGATCTCCCTCAATGTTCTGTACCGGCATCTCTCTCTTTCTTCCAACCACACTTTTATTGTCTCTTTCCTATTCATTACTGGATGCTGTATTTTAATCTGTTGTTTTGAAATATTATACAATATTAATGCAAATTAATTTTTAAAGGATACCACAATTTTCATATAAGGAAATGTGTTTCATGCTGAGAGACTGACTGGAGAAATGCTAAAATCACAAAAATGATTACAATGGATACGTGGCATAGTTAAACCAGTTAACATGGGCAGCAAGGAAACTGGCAACCCTGATTACATGAAAGATGTTTTAAAATAATTATTATTAAAGCAAAAAGAAAAGCTTTTAGAACAATTGAGTTCTCTTAATGATTTTGTTGCAAAAGTCACAAATGAGGAATTCAACATCATGTTACCATAAAAAGCTCCTGAAAATGCTACTCCAAAAATGCCAAGTTCTGCCTCAAGTTAGAAATCTTTAACTTTTCTGGTCCTTGAATTTAAAACCAGACCAGAAGTGTTGCCTTTGAGGGCACATGTACTAAAGATGGAAAAACAAGCAGGGGGAAAACAAAATGAAGCGAACTCTTGTTGTTTTGAGCATGAGAATCAAGAGAAGCACCTCAGAAAACAAAAGTCTATCAGAATGGAGGAAAACTGAAATGGAGGAATCCTTGAATTTAAAATATGTTGACTGATTTCATTTACTTAAAATACTCTAACAGGCAAAACTAATGCAGAGTCACAGCAGATCAGAGATCCCCTGAGGCCAGGGACAGAGAGAATGGGGACGATGGAGCTAGAAGGATCAGGGGAGCTTTTGAGGGTCTTGGAAATGTTCTCCATCTTAATTGTAGTAGTACAAATTAAATTTATGAAACTACACTTAAAAAATGTCAAGTTTTGATTCTTGTGCTAAGAAATAACCCACAGAAGCAATTATAACCTCATTTTATCATATAGATAATATTTCTTTTTATAATATTTATTTTTCTCAGGAAAATTGCCTAATTAGGTCTATTATATCCAGTCTTCATTACAAATGGATATTTATTCTTAAATCACTAGGATCCTCTGGTATTATCCCAGGTTTAAGCTACCTTGTTATTGAGTTCTTATGTAGAAAATATACCAAATCTACCTCCTGGTACCTTATTGGCAAATGGAATGATGACACTTGACTGCCCTGATCACTTAAAATCCACCAGTAATGTTTACAGTATAAACTAATGAAAGTGGAATCATTAACAGCAGGAACATTTTAAGTTTTGACAGATATTAACAAGTATCCTTCAAAAAAGTTGACCAAATTACACCCTCATCAACAGTTGATAAGAATATATTTTGTCTTTTGTCAAAATATTGGATTATAAATTTTTAAATCTTTTTCACTGTGTGACCAAAAGGAAGTATTTCATTTTGATTTCATTTCCTTAACAAATAGTGAAGTTGGATATATTTTCATATTTTTAATTCCTTTGAATCACTTCATTCTTGCCTTTGCTATTTTTCCCAAATTGCTCATTTTAAAAGTGTGTGTATATATATATAATACATATATAACATTATATATAAATTTAACCTTTGCCTCATATAGAGGATGCAAATATATCATATTTGTCAGCCTTTAGTCATACAATTTTGCTAATGCTGCTTTTATTATTTTATCTTGTGGAAGACTTAAATTTTTCCAAAGTCAAATCTGTCAGTCTTTTTTCCATTATAACTGTTGGGCTTAGATATAAATTTTATCGTATCTCCTCACATTCACACACACATTTCAAATTAAGATTATAGAACACTAAGATTATTAAATTACTCCCTGCCATGCTTCCCTCCACAAACTTTATAAATTTGTTTGCTTGTGCTTAGCTTTAAAAATAGCTGAAATTTGTGTGTGTGTCTATGTGTATGTGTGAGCATAGGATGTAATCTATACCAAACCCATTTTCCTCCTACTTCATTTTCAATTTCCAAATATTGTTTGTTTAGGCAATATATCATCTTTCATTGATTAGAGATGCCATATTTATTACAAATAAAATTGTTACACATACATGGTATTATTTTTCCTTTGTTTCAATGACCTATTTCTTTACCATTATCACATTCTTTTCAGTAGTAGTTTTGTAGTTTATCTGAAATCTGTTATGGCAAGGCCTGTCAAATATTTTTATTTTTTTTCAAAAATTAATTGGCTTTTCCTTATGTTTTCCTTTTCAGATGCCAATACTTTAAATATGTTCCTTTGTTTTGGTGGAAAACCTTTGAGTTCTGGAGACAGATCCACTGAATCTGCATCCAGGCTCTACCTCTTTTTTTATTTTAATTGATGGGGGGGCAGGGAGAAGAGAGAGAGAGATAGAAAGAGAGAGAGAGAGAGATTTGTTTTTCCATTTATTTATGCATTCTTTGGTTGCTTCTTGTACATGCTCTGACCAGAGATTGAACCTGCAACCTTGGTTCAATCAGAATGAGGGTCTCACCAACTAAGCTACTCAGGCAGGGCCTGGCTCT